TATTAGCTTTTATTTTAAGCTTAATGTACTCCCATCATCTTAGGAACCAGAGAGTTCCAAACTAGTACTTTTTTAAATCAAGATTAAAGATGGTTAAATGCCAATGGGTCTATTCCGACCCATAGCAACCCTTCATTACAGAGCAATATGACCCATAGGGCTCCCAGACCACAGTCTTTATGGGAGCAGATCTCCACGTTGGCCCCTACCCACCCACCGCAGTGGCAGAGGGTCCAGAGTATGGACCTTTCAGTTAGTAGCCCAAGGCTTAACCATGGGGCACCTGGGGCTCCTTAGGGGGAACATACATCCCTGTTTTTAAATGTTCTACATTTACAATTGCAACACTAAAATTGGGGGGTTGATGTTTGCATGGAGAGTCACAATGACTATTGAGTTATTCCACTGTTGCATCAAAGGGAAGACAAAACCTGTGACTACCGAGCTGATGCGGACTCACGTTGAATCCATGTATAAAACAGCTCCATAGCATTTCTTGGTAGTAACCCTCTTGATGATAACACTGGCTGGGTTTGAACTGTCAAACCTTTCAGTTAGTCTACTGCAAACCAATCATTTGTGTCACTTAAGGGAAGAGTCAAAAACCCATTATCCCGAACTTACACGGGGGTTCCATCTTTCTTTTTTTCTTTTTCTTTCTTTCAGACAAGATCTGTATGAAGGTGCTTTCTGATGAAAGCTCAGCAGTTTTGAAGCAACAACTATGGGGGCATCAGAGTGCGTCTGGGTACAGAAATGGCTTCTCTAGGTTTTAAAAATCCACTGTGCTCCTATGAAAGGAAGCCGTAAAAGCTCTTGGTCCATGCCACCCTGTTTGGGCATGGAAGAAGCTGAGAAGGGCCCAGATGGTGGCCAGTGGCAGGCGGCGAGATGGGAATTGTGCCTTCCGTTAAGGCACTTAGCTCAGGGAGAAATGAGACGTTTGGATCCAGACATTAATGGTCTATTCTCTTTTGATGACTTTTCTAAATGTAATCACATCCCCTCAT